CCCCAAAACCCCAAAACCCCAAAACCCCTTAATTCGATATTGAAACTTAATATCAAGACGAAAAATCAAATGAATTAATCCAATACATCAAAACAGCTTAACTTTGAATATGAAACTCCACCGTTTCCCAGTAATATAAAACACATCCTCTATTTCATCATAAGCTATACCATTTAATACAGAATTAAATTTATCATATCCTACTAGCCTTGGATTAGTTTCTTTTATATATGCCTCTTAAACATCACTAAGTACTTTTAGATTAACTCTTTTAATTATCATTCCTGTCTCTAGATCTATCTTAGCTATTGAATCTTAGAGGAAAATATTTGTCCAGATGAAGTCTTTCCCGTTGGTTTTATCCTTGAAGTATTCAAGTTCATTTAGATTTCTGATGGGTGTGCCTTTTTGGCTCACAACTTTGAGAGACTTAAGCACTTAAAGTGAGGATGGATCTACAAAATGAATAAACTCAGAGCCATCTGTAATAAAAACATATGTACCGTTGCTAGTAGCACCCCAGCCCTCTTTGATTTCATTAGGAATAGCTTCAGTCGAAAGTATTTTCAAGGTCTGTCTATCCATCATATAAAACACCCTGTCTTTCCAGGTCATTGCTAGGTATTTATCTTAGTTTAAAATCGTAATACCCTCACCAAAATGATTTTTTTCCATGTTTACCTGGGTATCAAGAAGAACCTAAGAAGTTTATTCATCAAATTTAGTAAAGAGTGCTTTTGAATCACCTTGCCATCCACATGATTCAGTTAGCTGTCTTCTTGATTAATCAAACAACAGTCCTTATGTGAAGCAGCTGTAAGGCCTGAAATAAATATCTATAATCTCAAAATCTTTGCTCTTTGGTTAATTCAAAAGATATTTATCCTTGTATATAGATGCCTCAGATTTCAAAATTAGATTTATAAATATCAATATTGTAGTAAAGCACAAAATTACCATTTTTGAAATTTTTAATAAATTTAAATATAAGGCTATGATATTTATTCATTATTATTTATGCTATAAATATATTTTTATTGAAAGTTAAGTACAACGGGGTTTTGGGGTTTTGGGGTTTTGGGG